GAGACACTGTGCTAACAGTGGGAGCTTGGGAGACATCTGAGGATTCCTGGGATGAGGCTCAGTGAGAGGCAGCAGCTGCTGCTGGGTGCCAGATCCCGTGCACCTCGGTGGTGTGGGAATGCCCGTGCCCCCCGGGGGAGAGGGACCTGCCCCTGGTGGCCACAACACCCCACCCCAGGTCACTGCGGGGAGCTGCCTGCAGTGCAGGGGGCAGCTGAGGGGCAGATGCAGTTTCCCAGCTGGGGGAACTGGGGGTTGGAGTCTCGGGGGAGTCGACGTCTCTTCAGACCGCCCAGGAAAACCCACTTGGCCCTTTTTGTGTGTTACATTTTGCTTTTCCTGAGGAAGGCAGAGGGAGTGTCAGTGTAACAGCCTACACTAGCTGCTTAGCTGGGGTGGTTTGGGTTCTCTTTTTTTTTTTTTTTTTGTTTGTTTTGTAAATTATGTAATTTTAAAACATTTGGGTTTAAGGAACAACAACAAAAAAAAAAAACCAGGTGTTTTTTTTTTCCTTGTTAAGGCCTTAAGAAAGGGGTTAGTGCATCTTTCAGGGGTCACTCTGCCATGGGAATAAAATAGCTGTTTCACAAACAGTTTTATATAAAAAAAGCTTAAAAAAACCAAAAAAAAATAATAAACTTCATTTTAACCTTGTCTCCTTTTGTTTTGTGCGAGCTCGGTTTGTTTGAAAGGACAGAGACAGTACTACCTGCTGCTTTTCAGTTCTTTGCCTTCATCAGTTCTGCCTTCAGTGAGGACCTTCTGAACTGGCCCAGCAAGAGGAAGACCACAAAAGCTTTTAAAAAACGAAAGTTTGGGATTTGTTTGACGTTCAGAGAGAACAAGCCAACGACTGGATGGATTTTGTGTCAGCCTGAGCTGGTGGGATGTCCCCAGGCCACCCAGTTCTTCCACTCCTGAGGAGGGTGCTGATGCCCAAACCTGCTGTCTGCTGGGAAGCCACTAGAGACAGGGCTCTGACCAGCACGGCTCGGATTTGAAAGTGGGGTTGATATTGTGGGGAGGGAAGAACTATTTTCAAAAGTTATGTACTGGATGCTTGCTCAGCTCCTCGCGTTTTTGAGTATTCAGCACATAAAAAATGAAATCTATGATAGCTCATATTAAGATATCTATTTTAACTCTATTTTTAAAAGATCAATTTAAAGATTTGGGAGATAATTTGGCAGTTATTTATTTCTAGAAGCTGCTACTCTTGCTGATAAGTCTGTGGGAAGAAAGGGCAGCCTTCTGCTTGCTCCTTTCCCAGTAGCAGCTCTGAAGTTAGTATGTCCTTCTACATAAAGAACTAGACCTGTTGTGATCTATGTCACTAATGTGTCCTGAATTGGTGCTGAAAATATTTAACTGCTGGTGTAGTCAGAAAAAAAAAATCATTTTTAGCTTAGTTAATGTGATTGAGTAAATGACTTCTTTTCAACTGAATAAAAATTGGTTTTTTTTTTTTTTTTTTCCCTAGTGTCTGTTCTATTCTACTGGTTCTGGAAAAAAAAATGTTACTGTTACTGCATTATGTTGGTGAAAAGTCAACTTGGTACTTCAGCAGCAGAGGACTTCTTACAGGTGGTGTCACGCAGCAGAGGGAGAAGGTTTTTGGGTGGCTGGGAGGGGGTTCTGGAGGTTTTTGTGGGTGCTCATGGCAGTTGTGGAGACTCAATGGCTTTTGGTTGGAAAGTCGTGGGAGCCGTGCAGAGCAGATAAATAAATGGTACCACCCCTGACTCCATGAGAAAGACTTCTTAGGGGGGAGTGTTTAAAATCCTTCAGATGAGCTGGCACTTGGCCCCTCCTCAGCGTGGGGGCTGAAGGTGAGGGCTGTGCCCCAGGCTCATGAGCTGGTCATACCTGTGTGTTAAGCAATCAGAGCTACCATGATTCTCTAAAACCAAGGCAGGAGTTGAACCCAGTGTGCAGTGGCTTCCTTGGGAGAACCTGGAAATGATCCCCAATGGTTGGAAAACCCAGCTGGGAGTAAAAATGTCTTTTGGCTCAGAAGATACAAAGTGCCTGAGTGGATTCAGAAAGCTGGGGTACAAAACATTTACTGGCTGCCTCCTGCAAAAGCAACTAGTGGCTTGATGTTATGGATACCCTGAACTTGAAGGAAAGGAAAAGGTTTGGAAATCTTGGCTAATTTAGGATTGGTGGAGCAGAAATGACCTGCAGCAGAATCTTCTTTACAGCATCTCTGTGTTTTTACTGAAAGCAATGGCCTGCCAGCTGCCTGGGAATGACCTGTGTGGATGAGGAGTGACCTCATGAGAGTGTGGACAAGGCAGCTCCTCTGCAGAGTGTTTCCCTGCACTGTTGGGACTCCTGACAGGATGGAGGCTTACACCAGCTGCTGGCACCTGGGCGTGGAGGTTCAACTGCCCAAACTTTGGCATTCCCATTTAGAAAGGAGGCTCCAACAGCTCACCTGAGTCATTGCTGCTGAGCACTGCCAAGGGAAGGGTGATGTTCTGCAAGGGAGGTGCCGTGGAGCCAGCGTGCGGAGGGGCTTGTCCATGGGAACTGGTCAGAGTTCACTGGAATGGGGACAGAGGAGACCCTTCCTCAGGACTGGGGGAGGCCCTGGGGTACCCATGGAGAGACACTCACAGAGCCAGGAGCTGCTGACGGACCTCTTCATCACAGATCTTTACTGCATGTGAAATGTACCCTTGGCAAGCTGAGGTGTGGAGCACTGTGGAGCTGGCAGTGAGCACTTGCCCAGGAATTGCCTCAGCTGCCTTGAGTGTCCTGGATGTGGCAGAAACACTTGCTAGAGGGGCACAGATTTGCTTTGTCTGACCAAGTCTCCATCTTACCAGAGTGACCTGAAGTACCAGTGTCCTGGTTCCGTGTAAAAAGGGGTTCAGGGCAGGACCCACACGGAACAGAACTATGTACTCGCCTCTCCCCCACCCCCTCGAGAGAGAGAGAGAGAGAGAGAGACACTTTTTAAAAAAAAATGAAGTATATTGTTCAACAAGGAACAGAAAACGAAAAAAAGGGAGGTAAGGAAAAATAATATATATAAAGATCAGGGGAATAATACAAAAAAACAAAATATACAAAACCCTCAGAAATGGTTCCAGGGTCCCACGGAGTGAAAGGAGAACTTTCCTCTCTGAGCTCCAAGGCAGGAGTGAAACAAGAAACCACTCCCTGCCTCTTATCAGAGTGTGTGTGGGAAGGGGAGGGAATACAATGGTTTCACCCCCACCCGGGGTCCTCCCAGTTGCTGGAAGGTCACGACCCCATTCCAAGCCTTAAACCACAACAACCAGTCCTCTAAAAGTGTAGAAAACTGAATCTCAATGCCAGACCTTTCAAAGTGGAACAGGGTACCTGGATGGCTGAGGATGAATAAATTGTCATTGGTTTGGATTATTTTTTTTCATGATTAAAAGTTGTGTGAAAAAGGAAGAGTAGAGGTAACACAGGTTCAGTTACAGATCTGGAAAAATACAAAGATGCAGCAAATATTTTGTGATTTTACTGGCTTTACTCTGAGAAGTTGAAAGGGGAGTTGCAGTCTTAGTTTGGGGTTACAAATCTGTCCATATGAGAATCTTGTTTGGCTGTGGAATATTTCTAACAACCATGTTTGGTTTTGTTGGGGATTTTTTTGTTTATGTGCATTTTTGTTAGGGTTGGTTTTGTTTAAGTTCAAGCTACTGCAGCATATTGTGAGTCAGAGAATTTAGTCAATAAAGGTAGAGGGCAAAAGTAATTGCTAGAAAGTTGTGGGAGGCCAGTGACTCTCCTGTACTTTCTCTGTGGCAGTGTCATGCCAAAGAGAGCTGGGCTAGTGCCCATCACTGGAGGATCACCTCCATGCAGGTGCCCTGTGCTGCCAGCTCCCAGAGACCCGTGGCATTCAGCTGGAAATTATGGAGTAAAGCTGCCAAGGGAAGAGGGAGGTTTTCCTTGCAGCATGGAGAGCAGTGACGTGTGCTGGCATTGTCTCTACAAAGTGTTCATTTGTTTACTCTGCCTGTAATTTTGGTCAGGTCCAAAAGGTTCTCCCTGTCATCCAGCTGCCAAGTGAGCAGGGTGCTGCTTCCAGGCTCTTTGCCTAGGATTTCATTTCTTACTGGGACCCATCTCCTAGTTGGCACCTTTACAGAAGGGAGCCTGAATTGAAGGGGAGGCATTGCTCCCTTGCTGGCTTCTTTTGAGGGGCTATATTGAGCCAAGGTTGCTTCCCCTTCCTTCTCATCCTCTAGGAGTTTCCTCTCATTTATTGCTTCACTCATTTCACTTCATTCATGCTGTGCTTTCAGGTTTTTGACCTTACCTGGTGAGCCTTAGAAATGCTGATATTTCTCAGCAGCCCTAGAGAGAGTTACCTCCCAAATAAATAGTTTGGAAAGTAAGCTTTTAGCTCAGAGCAAACCTCCTGTGAAGGAATTCACCTGCCCTGGCTGGGGTCTTCTGTGGGATAAACCCCTCAGGTGAACACACCCGGGTCATCTCCAAATGCTGCTTTGGCTGTGGGTGGTGGCTGCAGCTGCCAACGTGCCTGGAGGTCATGGGGGGGTTGGAGGTCAGCACTCCCTGACTTTGAGCTGTATCCTGACAGTGGTGTTCTGAGTTTTACTGAAATTACATCTTTTCAGTGCCACGTCTTTTAGTATGGAGCAGCAGAAGACGGCAGAGAAGTTTTCAGGGAAGGAGCTGGAAGGAGCTGGGAGGTGCTCTGTGCTCACAGCATTGTAACAAGAGGTCTGCGTTGTCTAGTGAGAATCCCATGAGCTGAAGCCAGTTTATCAAAGCAGACTCACCACATCTAATGGTTTTATTAAAAATGGAAAAATCTGTGCATTTTATAGCATTTCTATTAGGAAAACTTAACTGGGCTTCCACTGGACTTCCTGCACCTGAGCTGTGTTTCCTTCTTGGAAGACATGTGGAATCCTTTGATTCTTA